ATCAGTAAACTTAACAACGTGAATGACAGTAAAGTATCGGGTTTGATACAACAATTCTTTAGGTCGAATACTAAAGATTTGTTGAAGATGAGTGGCTTCTTTCCAAATGTCTTGAGTCTTTCGAGAACCTTGAGAAGCTTGGAGAAGTTCACGAATTTGAGGTCGTTCATTGGTCTGTTTCTGGATGAGAATTCCTAAGTACAAATAAGCTTCGATAATTTTTATCTGCTTAGATCAAGTACGTTCTTTGTCTTCTAATTGTCAGATAATCTTAGTTAGTTGGTCTTTCTAGATTTCACTAATAAAAGGATTAGGATGAGTGTCTGATTGAGGGGTTAAGGTTTGGGTTAGTTTATCTCAAACTTTTTTAGTAAACTTCAGTGTCTGGTTCAGTTTCTGGTTTGGGAGGAGTGGTGGTTAAAGTTGAGTCAATTTCTGGTTCTTCGATTAGAAAAATATCCAAGAGGATATCTGTGTTAATAGGTTCGGATAGGAGATCTACTGCAGTATTTACTAGTGTAGTAATGTTACTAGTATCATTAGGGTCATTAGAATTCTACAAGAAAATATTTTGGGAACAAATTGCTAAGTTATTTTGGGCAACAGGATCTTGTCTCCAAATAGTAAAAAAGTATTGAAGGGCTTGGATAGTTACAGGTTGCAAGGTGGTGTTGTGTATTGTCAATTGTGTATAAATTAGAGAATTTCTGAATAAGGAGTCTATTTATAATTTTTAAAGTTATATGATTGTCTGTTTCACAAAATTTTGTCTTTGTCTCTCTCCGTCCAATAAAATTTCTTTCAGAAATTAAGAATTTTCAATAATAATGATTGGTTCCCATGTCTGTTTCTTATAATACTTTGCTAAATGGTCACTATTATAATACTTCTGTAAAACTTTTCCTTCTAATGTTCATAGTTTATAAGCGCTATTATTCATATTATCTTGAATAATGAACTGTCTTTCTTTTTTGTCTTCAAATTTAGCTGATCTTGACTTCTCTAAAGCCTTTAATTGTATCCAAACTTTTTTATCAATTTCGAATTCTTCTGGTCTGATTCTAGCATCAAAATATTCCTTTTGTTTCTGTTGTGACTTCTTGATATTAACTCGAGCTTCTTCTTGTGTTGTAGCCATTCTTTCTATTAGTTCATAAATGCGTTGTAACACACTATCCTGAAGATCGATTTCTATATCAGGATTCGGCATAGGTTCAGTAGAGATAATAGTTTCGATTGGTAGAATAGCTTGTCTACCATATATTAGTTAAAAAGGCATATAACCAGTGGTAGCATGTCTCTTGGTCTGATATGCTAAGAGAACAGCAGGTATATGTATATCCCATTCATTAGTTCCTTTAATCTTTGCGAATGATTTGCAAAGTGTTCTGTTAAGACGCTTAACCATTCCATTAGTTTGTGGATGGTATGGTGATGAGAACTTGTGTTTGATAAGAAACTTTTTATATAATATTCAGATAGTTTCACTAATGAAGTTTCTTTCTTGATCTGACAGAATTATCTTGGGAGTTCCATGTCTATAGATAATTTTTTCGAAAATAAACTTTGCTAAAGTTTCTGCTCTGGTGTCTGATATGGCTCAGGCTTCTGACCATTAGGTTAAGTAATCAGTTGCTACAATAATATAGCGATTGTTCTGTTCAGTTATAGGTAGGGGTCCAACTAGGTCAATACCAATTCATTTAAAGGCTCGTCCAATTTGCATCAGGTGTAAAGGTTCTTTTCTTCTGCCTTTTTGTCTTTTCTGACATTCTTCACATGTCTGTATATATTCTTTAATGTCTCGATACATTTGATCCCAATAGTATCATTTGGCTATTTTGTAATACATTGTGTCTATTCCTAAATGTCCAGCGGTAGAATGTTTATACATCATATAGAGAATGGTTTCTACTTCTGTCCATTTGATAACTCATAAAGGCTTGTCTGAGTCTGTTCTATTCTTCTTGTAAAGCAAGTGGTGTCTAATTTCAAAATATCGAGCTTAGTTAATTAACTGTTTCTTTTAGTTTTCAGTAAGATCTTCTGGAATAATGTCTGTATCTAGATACTGGTATATCTCATGATACTGATCTAAGTTCATGATAACTTAGATTCTTTGGTCTGAGTCTGGAGTCGAGAAAGAGTATCAATATTGGAATGGATTCGTCTAGGTTTATGGATAATCTCAAAGTTATAAGGTTGTAACTTGAGTATTTGGTATTCTAATCTTCCTTTAGGTTCAGCAGTACATAGGAATTTAAGAGCGTAGTGGTCTGTAATTAAAATAAACTTGGTAGTGCCAAGATATTTATGAAAATGTTCAATAGCCCATACTATAGCAGCACATTCTAGTTCAGTGGCACCATAGTTCATTTCTTCTTTCTTTAGACTTTTACTAGCATAAGCTATAGGGTGTTCTTTGTTATAACTATCAAGTTGACTAAGAGTAGCACCAAATTTATAGTAAGAAGCATCAGTTGCTAGTATAAATATTTTACAGAAATCTGGGTATTGGAGTATAGAGGCACTAATAAGTCTTTGCTTAAGCTCATTGAAAGCTTCGTGTTGTGCTTCAGTTTATTTATAGGATTCGTCTTTTTGTAGCAGCTGATTTAAAGGTTTTGCAATTGCAGAAAAGTTGCAAATAAATTGTCTATAGTATTCTACTAATCCTAGAAAAGATCGTAACTGAGTTATATTCTTAGAAGGTAGGATTTGTTGAACAGCTTCAATTTTCTCTAGGTCTAGAGCAATTCCTTTAGATGATATAATGTATCCTAGAAGTGATAATTTTTGCATCCAAAAATTATATTTCTCTATGTTTAATCATAATTCGGCACTTCTGATTCTAGTAAAGACTTCACAGAGATGTTATAAATGTTCATCAAAGGTCTTGGAAAATATAATAGTATCATCTAGGTATACTACTAAGAATCTCTATGCAATTTTATCATAAACTTGATTCATTAATTGTTAGAAAGTTGCAGGAGCATTACACAGTCCAAAAGGCATAACGTTAAACTCATAAGTTCCATAGCAAGTAACAAATGCAGTCTTTTCTCAATCTCTTGGGTGCATAGTTACTTGCCAATATCCACTAGCAAGATCTAGTGTAGAAAATCAATGAGATCCAGCGAAAGTATTTAACATTTTATTAATTCAAGGCAACAGGTAGGCATCTTTCTTAATTATACTATTTAGCTTTCTGTAGTCTATACAGAGTGTAATTTGCCATTCTTCTTTCGTACTAATACAATAGGTGAGGTCCAGAGGCTATTCGATGGTTGTATTAGCTTATTGTCTAACATATGTTGTATTTCTTTTTTCACGAATGCTTGTTCACTAGGAGGTATCGAATAAGATCGAGAATTAATAGGAGGTATATCTTCGATATAAATTCAATAAGTAACTAGGTTAGTTCATCTTAGTTCATTAATATCTGATGCGAATAAGTCTGCAAATTCTTCTAAGAGTTGTCTGAATCTTCTTCCTTTATCTTCTGAGAGAGGTCTAATATTTACTGATGTTTCTTTTAAGGTTGTATACTCTTCATAAGGAATAAAAGTATCAATAGCATACACATGTCTAGGAGTCAGAGTAGAGTCATTAATGTCTGTGTCCTTAGGTAGTTTTTTATCTTGTCTGAAATTATCTAAAAATTTTGTGACTCTATAAGAGCAGCAAATTGAGCAGCACGCTGATTAGTATACTGATTATCTTCTCTCTATAGTTGCATAAGCTGTTGGTTGAAATTCTCAAGAGTTTCAGCCTTTTGTTGCAGCTGTGCAATAAGCTGACTTTGATAAGCTACTTGTTGTTAGAGTTGTAACAATGAAGATAAAGTGATATCTGGTTCTGGAGTAGTAATCAGAATATTATATCAGCAAATTATATATATATAATCTTATATAAGATATTACAGCCTGTAATATAATGAAAATCTTATGATCGATGCAGTATATTATGTAATATATTACATTATATTACAGTAATATTACAGTTATTAATTTAAAATATTTCAAAATATATTGCGAAATATTGCAAAATAGACCAAATAAAAAAATCAAATCACGTGTTCGTGTAATTCGAATACTTCAATTTACTAAAAAAATTTTACAATAATATTACACAATTTATGTAATAAATATTTATTTAAATAAAACATATACGAATCAAAATACATATTCTAGACCATTCACCCTATCACAAAATTGTCAAAAACTACTAAACACTATACTAAATTGTATGCTGTTCATCCTAACCCTATTCAAAAACAGCTCAACAAAACAAATATCCACAAACTCATCTAATAACTAAGCAAGACATTCTAGAATAAACGGCAATTCTTGAATGTGTGCCAGGATTGTAGTACATATTGCCTAAACTACAAGTCAGATTTTAAAATCAGGTGAAATATAACATGAACAAGAAAATTCAAATCGAATGGCCATTTTGTCAACAATCACTTATTTCTTGAAACTTGCTTATAAACTATTCTTTGCACATTAACAAAAAGTTTTCTGTGAGAAATTTTACTATATACATTCTTAACTATACTAAAAGCCCTAATATTAGCATAAAAGAACTTTAAAGAATTTTGACAGTACTGCAAACCTGGTACACATTCAAGAATTGCGAATAAATGATGCAAACAAAATAACGCGCTATTAAAGACAAAGGCCCAAATACTGTAATCTCAAAAAATAGAAACACCAAAATGACGACACCAATGATGACTTCAAAGCGATGGTGAAATGACAAAATTAATAAAAAGTCAAAGCAAAAGTTAGTAAGCAAAAAAAAAGCAGGTAACACCGAAGATAACAACAGGTCTCTAAAAGAATTACTAAAAATGACGACATATCAAAATCTATAACAACAAGACACTATAACAGCAACTCCAAGAGGCGACTTCAGAGCGACAATTCACAAAATTTATGACAAAGCACCAAAGGGCGACTCCAAGAGTGCTGACGTACTGAAATCTACGACAAGACATGACTCCAGAGTGATGATGTACTGAAATACACGACAACAAAACACCAAAAGAGCGACTCCAGAACGACAACGTACCAAAATTTATGACGACAAAACACCAAAAATGATGACTCCAAAAGAGCAACTCCAAAGTGATAATACACTGAAATCTACAAGACCCAAAAGAGCGACTTCAGAGCAACGACATACCAAAATCCACAAGGCCCAAAAGGGCAACTCCAGAGCAAAGGTGAAATGGACAAAAGTTATAAAAATAAAAACAAAAGTTAGTACTGTAGTAAGTAATAAAAAAAAGAAAAAAAGCAAACTGAAAATTAAAAAAAAATAAAGCCTAATCATATTTATGATGATTAGGTTATACAACAATAGGATAGCGATAAATTGCATATACAATAAACAAAATTCTACTGTAAAATATCAGAGCTTCGGTAAATTAAGAAAAATTCCAGCACAGTTTTTTGATATTTAGAAATTTTCTATTTAGTCAAAATTTTAACACTTTCTTATATCATAACTGATTGTAACTATCATTACTACATTCTGCTACAGATCCTAAATTCTATTTAATAAAAAGATCGCTGAAAAAATATCAGAACACGTCATGCCACAATTTTGTGCCCTGATATGAACTATTTCAAAATTTTTTACTTAATGTAAAAAAAGCCGTAATATTACATAAGAAATTTTGAAATATTCTGAAATATTTTATGTAATATTTCATAATTTTGATATTTCGCAATATTTTGAAATTTTTTACGTAATATTATGGCTTTTTTATGTTTTGTAAATTATTATGAAATATTACAGTTTTATAAATTTGCTGATGTAGAATTTGTTTCTACTACAGAGATAGCAGATCAAGATTCAGATGGCAGGTTGTTAAATTCAGGTTCTTCAAGTGGAGTATCAAAGTTGAGAGCAGGCTGGTCTGGTTCTTCTTCAAGTGCTTCTTCTGGATTAAAAATAGGAGGAGGTACTATGGCACAGTCAGTATAGATTCCATTATTCTGGTCAAGTTCAATTTGATGCTTAACATGCAGGCACTCTTTACAAAAGTCAACAGGATCAGTAAAGCTTCGACGCAGGTTAGCAAGAGCTAACTCTTTACAAAAATCTGGATAGCTAGTGTCAAAAGATTGGTCAAGAGTTATTTGTAACTAGGACTCTTCATCCTCAGTTAGTAGATTCTGTTCAGCACGAAGGATGAGACTCATTTCATCATCATTCTATGACTGGTTGGTTCGGTCAGTCATGAAAGATTCTAATATTTTGGCTATATCTTGGTTACTTTCTTGCAAATAGATCTTTGCAAGTCAGAAGATACGTGTCTGATTCATTTCATATTGGGATCTGGCACTTCTGG